CGCGCCGTCCCCAAGAGACCCCGAGGCATATGTGCCGTCCCCGTCGACGCGCGCCGAGTTCCCAGCCTGTGACCGATGGCGGTACCTCGGGCCAGCCGCGAAGCTGTGCCGACACGTGGAAGAGCAAGCGGCGAGCGCCGACCAGGTCCGCAGGACTCTCACGGACCAGAACGCGCGCCTGATGAGGATCGTCGAGGCGCAAGCAATGTCGTTGGCGTCCGAGCGCCGGGACGATGACCGCTGCCGGCTCGCCTCGATACGACTTGACCCCGTTCCGTTCTTCAGTGAAGGAGGGCCGGTGCACCCCATTGCGCACATGCGAGCCGTCAGGGCCCGCGCCATGATGTACGACGGGACGGCCACGACATGCCTACGCGTCCTTGCCGCGTCGCTCAAGGACAAGGAGCAGCAATGGCTACAATGGGCTATCGACGAGAACAACTGGAGCCGCACGCGTCTTACGAACGACGACCTCGACGCGCTCGAGGCGCTCTTCTACAAGCGCTTCATCGGCGGGCGGTCCGCGCGGGGCCGCCTGTTTGAAAACGTCGAGCAAGGTGGCAGCGCCCTCGATGGGTACGAGCGCGTCGACGAGTATCTGCAACGGGTCGCCGACGTCGCCCGGGTGGCAGGCCGCAGCGAAGACGAAGAGTTCATGATCGAGAAGGCACGCGATGGACTTACGGATCCAGACATTCGCATGGTCGCCGCCAGCATGGACGGACCGATCACGGCTGCGTGGGAACCCTTTAAGAAGAGCGCCATGGCCGTCGACGAGCTACTGCGATCCGGAAGACCACGACAAGACGCCCTGAGAAACGCCGCTGGGCCCGACACGACGACGACGTCCGCGAGCACGAACGACCAGAGCGCCGGCGAGGGCAGCTGGGCCTTCCGCGCGCCAGTCGCCCAGACAACACACCTGCACCCGTCGCCTGCGCAGTTTCCCGTCACCGGCAACCCGGATGCGCCGGTTTTTGGGCGAGACCGCCGGTAGGAGCTACCCCGGCGGTCGCACAAGGACGAGAAGCTCAAGGAAGACAAGG